CTCTAGTAGCGTCCTTGCTCGTAGTAAGGCCAGGAGCCCCTAGTAGCGTCCTTGCTCCTAGTAGCAAGGCCAGCTTCTTGTTACTAGTAGTGTGGCCTGGAGTCCCTAGTAGCGTCCTTGCTCCTAGTAGCAAGGCCAGGAGCCTCTAGCAGCTTCTTGTTACTGGTAAGGCACCCACCTGAATGGTTGTCACAAGGGTTATTGGAAAATCTTGGAGGTGCAGGGTCAAGTTCCGTTGGGGTGATGGACCTTTTCACTGCACTTCTGGGTGCATTTGCATGTAATTGCATTACTATAGCTTATTGGTGTTCTCTTATACCCGTAAGATCCCTTACTGTAGTCCTTTTGGTTTAGGACGGATTTCTTACTAAACCCAGAAAGGTTCAGCTACCTTCCTAAACACACAGGACTCCTACAAATCATCCCTTAAGGATATCTTTTCTACTAGGCAACACCTGGCCCGGCACCTTCACCGCTCACGAGCCCTCTTTTTTGGCGCTTCCACAGAAAGCACACCATATTCATCATCCGCAACTGCTCCGATCTGCAGCGCTTTAATGGCCTCCAACCCAGTAGCATCCTTGCTCCAAGTAGCGATGGCCTCCACCCTAGTAGCGTCCTTGCTGCTCATCGAGGTCGGCACCCTTTGGGCCTCTTTGCAGCCCTTGACGTCACCAAGTCGCTCCACGGCCCCGTGGTCAAACGTCGCGGTCGAACGACGCGGGTTCCGGGATGCCAATATCCGTGCGGGGGAGCCAGCGGAAAAAGAACCGATCGAAATGGTTTGCGAGCTTGGAGTTGATCCCTCAGATGTGATAGGATGCCAGAAGCAGGGTTTCAAGGCTAAAAAAGGGAACCCTTGCTCAGGAGTTTCTACCAGCTTGGCTGCCAAAAGGCGGCGACCGGTGGCAACCGGTTGGAGGGTGCTTAATTGGCATGTTCTTCGGTCAAGTGACCTTCATCATTCTCACCCGAAAGGAATTCCTTTCCTTGTTGGAGAGTGCTGGTATGCTCCTTTTGGGGGCATCATGGGGCATCTCATTTCGGGTCACTCGGAATTTGTGGCAGTGTGCAATACGCGACCATCAAACACTGGAGCATGAAGTTCTCCATAAAGGGCCGGCTTGGAAAAAGATCTATGCAGCAGTTTTGTATTTTAGATCCGAGTTTTATGATATTTTATGAATCAGGTTTTTGGAGTTGGATTCCTTTTGGTATTTCAATCTTTAGATTAGTTTCCGAGTTCCTTTGTTCAGTGCACGTTTTGAGTTTTGTTTTCTCTCCTGAGATTTGGTGGTGTTTGGATTGTTTTGCTTTGGAACTCCCAGTGATTTGCTGCTCAGAATATCAAAACATGCTAGTCACTAGTCCCCGATCAGTTTCTCAATGTTCTCATGTTCTATTGGTGTTTGGAATGTTGATATCTCCAACTGGATAGCAGAACGGGACCGAAAACCATCAGCGACCTTGAAAAGGCCTGACTAAGGGCGCTTCCTTGGCAGGCTGTTCCCAAAAAGGTCTGTTCAATGCCCTTGGTGACCTAACCATTTGTGGCACAGAGGATCGCAGAGGATCGAAGTTAACTGACCACGATCGAAATGATTGTTCGACCGTTTCTTTCAGATCGACCTGTGACGCGTTTCAATTTCAGAATGCGTTCTACCGTCTCCGGCATAGAAACAGGTTCAATTCCAACTCGAGACTTGAAAGCGCGGGGGCAGTTCCGGGCAGTTCCGGCAGAACTAGGGATGAACACACCAGACATCATCGACCACGATCGACCAGACATGACCAGGTGATTTGGAAACGTTTGAGCGAGTCTTTCAGTGAATCGACCATGATCGACCTCGATCTCCGCCTTCGAGGCTCAGTCCATGCCGGAGCATCTTCAGATGGTCCGTGGGGGAAGCTCAACGGACCTGCACAACGCAATGGAACTCATTCACCAGAGTCGAGCTGCACATGCCGCACGGGGGAGGATTTGATGGTTGACCAGTTTACATGTTACTTTTTGGTGGTGAATCATTTTTGACGGGCGAGGGACCCAATGCTGTTGCATGGTTTTGGCACCTTACCACGCACCTTACCTGACCAACGATGCAATCGCACCGGAGCACGCTGTGGTGTTCACCTGTGAAGCAGGGAGACCCGGGAACAGAGATGTGTCCAAGTGCGAACACAGAGCGCTCTCAGAACCCATTTGGATCGGCTGGTCCGAAAGGACCTGTTTCCACCCAAAAACGCTCTCTCCTCTCTCTCATCAGAGCCCAATCACCTTGAACTCCAAATTTTTGATCAGGATCGTTTGGCAAAAAAGAACTCCCTGGGCCAAGCAGATCCTGAACCTTTTCTTTGTCATATTTATTCATATTTGTTCCTTCGATGATCAGATACAAAGTTCTCCGAGGCCAAGGCTCCTCATTCTCCGAATCTCCGGGCTCCAACGCTCCAAAGCTGCCCTCTCCTGCAGCGAGGTGCACGGGACAGCTGGAGAGATGTGGTTTCTTGAATTTGCTTGGTCCTTTTGGTGGGTGGATTTGGAGTATAAAGGCTATAGTGGCTTCAACACAGTCAACACCTCTAGTGAGCCTGCATGTTGTGGGGTGAACATAGGTTTAAGAAGTCTGGCAAATTGGCTACATCTTATACATTATGCAAGTTAATCAACAAAGCTGAACGAAAGTCGAAGGTTCAGGCTCAGGCAGAAAAAGCACGGTATGGATCCGTCCACGTAACACCTGAGGTTGGGTGCTGGAGGGTCTGTTTGTATGTGGCAGCTTTACTTGGTCCCTGCCGCTTTGTTTCTTTGTATTGAAGGTTGTTTCACTCATCGCAAAGAGGGCTGTTGGTCTGAAAGCTGGGTGTGGGCTTTATGGTGTTGTTCCGGCGATTTTTTCCGCGTTCTTTGGAAGTGAGGGCACGCCGGTTTTGGAAGAGATGAATCAGTGGTTCACCACGGTAAACACCAAGCCCTGGGCAGTCCAATTTAAAGACACCGCTGCCGCTGCCCCGCTGTATTTGCAAACGTAGGGATCCGGAATCCGGACAGCTATTGTCAAAATGAAGCTATAGTTCGTCTTCTAAAATATGTAACCTGGAGAACATGGGACAGAACCCCAAGCGAGCGCAGGTACCAAGATGCACCAAGGTGGACCAATATACTCAATTGAAGGACTTAAGTGAAGACATACTTTCCCATGTCGCTGTTGGTATACTTTGCTGTCGCCCGTGTAGCCTTGGCTCGACCCATTGCCACCCGCCAGGCGCTCGGGTTGCTTTGCATTTTCATCCCGGGCCGACGACTCGGCGCGACGACGGAGCTGGGCCGGCGTCTCGCGCGTGGACCCGTGGGTCGCTCCGTTCGGCGCGCGCGACCGGGCGCGACCGGTGCCGGAGGAAGCAGGCCCCAAAGTCTCCCAAAGACCAGTTTCGACCCTCAAATTCAGGATCTACATATGAACAATTATGGGTTAGGTGTCGACATATGAACATTGGCGGCGCTGCCATGTTCCAATATTTTGGAGCTTGATTACATGTGCCTTTATTCTTTTTGCAATGTTGAGATGATGTTTCGGTATTTCGATCTTTTGCAGTGGGTGATGTGTTGATCTGACGCTCATCAGCTACAAGTGGCGGTCAGGTTCTATTAACTGGGTGGTCAACTGTGTGGCTTGCTGGATGCCTCTCGAATGATTCTTTGAGCAGGTGTCCGTTACAGAGCTATATCTCCCATAGGGACGTGCAAACATCACTCGTTGGTGACCAAAATAACAGTGCATTGAGGTTGAAACAATGTTGTTTGGATGGCCCAAAGATCATGAATCATGATCATTCTACCAACACCTTCCTTTCGAGTCTTTTGGGGTCTCCAATGGACTATTCACAACGAGTGGAGCGGACACCCCGACAACCCAAGGCCGGACAACGAAGCCCGATCCCCTGTGGAGGCTGGTCGACAGAGGTGGAAAGTGGATGCCAGCGATTCCAGTATGTTTAGAGTGATCATGAATCATGGTTGAAACGATCCGGTTTCAGTTCGGTGCTACGATTTGTATTGTTGAAACACCGGTGATGAAGTCGTGACATCTGAAGGCACACAGGGATCACCTACGCAAGAGGGTATCCCTTTTTGAGGGGTCGGACATTTGGGTGCAGCTGTGCTGGATCATCCCCTTTGCGTCCCGCTGTGGGACAAGACATTTCACCCGTATGCGAGGATCGACTGAAAAGTGCTGGGTTCGGGGGTCCAAAGACTTGGATGTTTCGGTCTGAAATCAACGCGACTGACCCAAAACTCTAAATGGTGGTCTAGTGAATGCAACATCATAAGCTTTTTTGCTTAAGTTACCGAGAAAAAATCACTACAGGCTTTATTCAACTCGAGACTGACACTGGTTTCACCATGAGCTTCCCGACCAGGCCCAGCTACCACAAACAGAAGGGGAGGCGTCGTAGCAGCCTTTGACAGTCGACCTGGACCATGTGTATATTTGTCTTGAATTAACTTGAATATAACTGATCATTATGTCACCTCAACTACGGAGCCCAAACATGAACACAATCCCGGTGTGTGTGTGTGTGAGTTTGTGTGAATCACAGGTTTGACTATAATGCAGGGGGCCAGTCCACCCACCAGGGAGTGGCCAATGAAGAGCCTGGTGGTGTGGTGCTGAAAACACACCTTGTTTTGACTGGCTTTTCTCCTTGGTCCCTGCATGTACTGTAACTATACAATAAGACTCAGTCCTTTGCACCGGTTTGCTGTCAAGAGCTATGCGAATTCAGGATGTTGTGACACTCGCAGTTCAACTTGTGGAACTTTGGGTTCAGCGTGTTGTGGAACTTGCCGAAGAACTTCTTAAAATTCAATAAATTTAAACTACTATGCTTTTAGTCAGCTTTCCTTTCTACCTGACTGAGTGGTCGTCCGGCTACCGCCTTTCACACGTACACCTATCTGCGTGTGCGTGGGTGCGGCCACCGCCATGCTGCTCGCCCACATAGAAGCGAACTCAGTGGACCGTCGAGTCACCCGCTTCGGAGTCAAGCGACTTGAAGGTCTAGAGTTTCAGAACGCATGGTGCCCAACAACATTTGGTGGTGTAGTTCGAGAGACGCTTCGGGAGCTTGATGCAAAAGGCCCGCGCTTCTGACGGGAAACGCTGCAAATGCTTCAGGGCCAAGGCTGAGTTGTTGGAACTGTGGCAACATTTCACCTAATAAGGCTGACTGTCAACGACATGAAAATGGTGAGGTGGACAAAGGAGTGGCCTGTGATGTGATCAGGAATAACTGGGGAAGAGAAAGAGAACACGGAATTCCGCTGTGTACGTGCACCTGGTAGGGCGTACTGTCCCCCTGTTGGAAAGAAAATGAGTTACCCAAGCCTTCCTTCGATGTGTACTGGTGTTCATGGTTGGTTGGGGTCGGCGGGAACACCAACCCTTTCTCCCACCTACTGTAACAGCCTAGCACGCTTTCAATATGCCTTGTTTAGTTGGAGCAGCTTGCAGGGTGTGTAGCTAGCTGCTCCTAGCTTCTTTAGGCTTGGTGCTGTGCCGCAGCTTTTCCCACCCGCCCCTGAGCTGTGGAACAGCTGGAGGAAGAGGGAGGGAAAAAGGGCAACCTGTTGGCTGAGTCCTGCACAGGTGGCTTGTCCGTTCATCTTGTAAAACAAGGTTGGCGCGCCTATTCTTGTAGTTCTGGGATTGATGCGATGGGTGAGAGGTGGCCTGTCCTTTTGCAGGTGCCACCAACCAGCTCTTCGCATGGCACGCCAACATTTTCGATGGCTTGGACGTGGGCACCAGGTTTGGACTATGACTAATATATATAATATATAATCATCTTTCATCAATGGTTATGGAATATGTATCATGTGATGGCTATAAAGCCATAGTCCAAACCAGCTTTGGAGTCCCAACCATGGCTGTGACATGCCGGGCCATAGTCATGATAGTGGCTATATGTGGCTAGGTCCACACCTCCGATGTGGATTTTTCATGATGATCCGATCCACACCGATGATCCGATCCTCTCATCCAGGCTCCGCTCCTCGGGTCTCCTCTCCGAGCCCCGCCGTGCGGAGCCTGCTGGAGGCGCCGTACCCGAAGCGTTTGGAGTCGCGGTCACCGGGACGATGAACCCATTTGCAACAAAGCTAGGCAAAATGATGTGTTTCCATGTGTCCTCTGTTTTTTCGATTTAAATCCTGCGAATTCGGCAGATCTGACAGTGCTAGGTGGTTGATTTGGGAAGAAGTATATTCTTTTTCATCCCTATGACGTCCCAAGCCGTAGGAATCTATTTTTGGCAATGGTTTCACTGGTTTCGGATGTTCAACCTTCGACCAAGCTCCTGATTCCAACCTTTTCAGGAACGAAGACCAGCTCCACTGGGGCAGGCGGCCTTGACGCCCAGTGGGCCACAGGTGCCATCCGCGGTGACCCCGGGCGGAGTGGTGAAGCTTGTCCGGTGGACCGGCATCGACCAATGTTAGGGAATGGTCCAGGATGGTATGTAATGGGTAGTTATATGAAGGTTTCAAAAAATGGGGCAGAAACATTCAATTCAAGACATTTAGCACTATGAATGAGTGTGTGTATGGCAGACCATGTCAATTTCAGTTGTATTACTGCAGAACATGGGTCTGTTATTTGTTGACCTCTCTTTGGAAGATGACATGAACTGGTGTTTTGGTGCATGTGTGACATAGGCGTTGCCAGATTGTCAAGTCATTTGTCTAGAGTTCAATTTAATGTCTCGACGTTGCATTTGTCAATGTCGATGACATGGCAGTATTTGTTTGTCAATGGCATGGCCTACAGTTTTAGCAGCTTTTGACTTTAGACCAGCCTGTTGCTTGCATGTGTTTCAACAAGCAATGATTGCAACATGTTTTTAGTTAACGTGTGCAGACACTTTTGGGCTGCAGGCTGCAGACAATTGTTTCAAAATCCGGCATTCATTTGTTTTGCATGCCATTTGTTCCATTAGGTTCGTTGTTCAATCCTGTGATGCTGACACCCTGATTGGCTGGTTTTAAAGAAATACGTAAACCATGTTAGCAATTTGAGTTGAGCAGGCAGTGGTACTTTTGTTTGCTCAGGCCACTTGGGTAGCCTTTAATAGCATGCACCGGTGCGCTGTGCAAAGGAAGTGTCATGATTCCACTTGGTCCAGTCGCATTACATCATATACCTTTTTCCAAGTGCTGTTGTAAAGAAAAATACAAATGACCAGAAAGTCGTTGCTCATGGGCACCCCCTATACCAAAGAAGAAGAGTTTGTGTTTTTCAAGGTCGTTGTTACATCGTAAAAAATAGCCTTTTACTATTGGTTGGTTGGTCAATGCAAGGGATACTCCCGCTTTGTCAACCATGACAACCACCGGTCAATGTCATCATGGCCAACGTCCACCAGGCCAGCGGTACACCGTCCACAGGGACACATCGTTTTAAGGCGAGAAACGTGGATCCCGGCGGCTGAAGCGTGAAGCGTGCAGCGTTGGTGGACGATGAAACGGATGTGATTCGTGAGTGACATGGGTGACACATGGAGGAACGTGTCCGAAACATGTCTTCAGCTGAGTGAGACGTGCGTGGCGCACAAATGGAATTTACGGCGATCGCATGGAAGCATGGGGTTTTGGTACACCAACATGATTAGCTGGCGCCCATGTCCAACTGGATCTCTTTGAAGGTTCTAATGATTGGACTTCTGGCTTTGGAACTCCTGAGTCACCTTCATCCACCCTTGGGTCCCCGTCAGACGAGCTTCCCCTGCAGCTCATGACTTTGGGTTCTGGCACCAACCATGTGACCATGTGTGGCCCAGAGGGTTTTAGTCCATCTTCCGGTCCAAAGGCCACAGACAGCAGGTTTTTCATGCATAGGGTGTTCTTGTTCTGAGTGTGTCGCATCCAGTCATGAGGACATGCCGATCACTGGTCCAATTTGGTGGTAAATCATGTTTAAAGAGAGGATTCGGATGGGTTGGGCCCTGGAGATGGGCATCCATTTGGCCATCTATGGACGTATACGTACGTTGTAAGCTATTACTCAAGCACATAGCACTTGCAACTTTGCCACATCCACCACACCCAACATTTGGAGACCATCGCTTCTAGGTTGGAGGCCATCAAATCTAGGTTGGAGGCCATCGCTTCTATGGGTATACAAGTCTTTCCGGTATGACAAATGAGCTCTTGAGGCTTTTCCATGTCCATTGGGTTCTACCGACGTTGCAGTCACCGTCTCGCAGGACTTGGACAGTGCCCGACACTCGCAGATCTCAGGTGGGAAGTTGTCAAAACTCTTTGAAGGTTCATGTAGATCTGGTCATGGCGAGATATCAAGGATAAGCCAGGAATGTTCTAGGGATGATCTATGTTATACTATAATGTAGAAGATAGTACGATACCGCTTAATATGGGATCAAACTGGCAGTTTTCGGGATTCCAGGAAAATGCAGATGTTCCTTTATCTCCAGTTGCTTGGGTGATTGTCAATAAAACATGCATGTGTAGCTGGACCATCCGTTTGTGGTAACCGACACCCACAAGTGTTACATGGTTTCTCGCTTGCTGACCGAGCTGACCTTGTGTATGGTCATGGTCTACAATATGAATGGTTCCATCTGTCATATAGCTCAAAGTCTGGATATGATATGCACTTCCACTTGTTTTCCAGTTGACGCATGGATCTCTTCTGTTCATTGGAACTTTTTTTGTTTTTAGAACTTATGGGCGACATCGACATCGTGGCGTAAACGGGCGAAACCGATCCCTGGCGCGCGGCCCGGAGGCGCCAGCCCGGCCTCTGCGTCGACGGCCCGGGCATCGCCCAACGCCCCGCGCCCTGCGCGGTCCGAGCGCCGAGAAGGAGAGCCAGGAACCAGGAAGCCTATCCTAAGGTAGACCCAAGAGACGTTTGAGTATTTTGTTCAGTTCTTTTTGTTGGATTGACTCCACTTTGGAGTTGGATTTAGACTGAGGGAAGTCAGGAATGGTTCATTTGGATGGAAAAGACTTTGTTTGTTTGAGAAGAGAACACTTCAGACAGCGTGAACAGCATGAATTCGGTTTCGAGGAAGATAATATACCTTACTAGGTGCCGGTGGGTTCTTGAAGCAGGGAGAAGCTACACCAATACAGAATACAGGTTCACTTTGCCTTTTGCTAAGAGCACATTTGATTAGAGAGTGGATGAAGAATCCAAAAGCTGACTTCTGAATTGTCGATCCTTTGATTGTAGTCTTAAGTATCTATATAGAATGGAACTCACCTGAGAAGTCCAAGTCTTTTTAGACATACTGTGTGTGTGTGGGCTAGTCCGGCCATGAAAAGATGTCCAAAGAACAATGCCATCCCCGACCCGTCAGGACCCACACGATGTGGTGGAGACCGGACCATCCCAAACAGCGTTGAGAGACCGGACCCTAAGGGAGGACACTGAGGCTATTGACCAAGAAAACACCGAATCAATACAAAAGCACCTTCAACCAACCCTTGATAAACCAATCAAACTGACCAAACAGGCCAGGCAGCTGGGTTCACAGGCCTGGCCGGACAGCCCTTCTCCAGTTCTCCGCCACCCCCGAGGTCCAGATCCAGCCTCTCCGCGGGTTCAGAGAAGTCTCCGGGTGCGCCACATAGCCTGGGCGGGAGAGGGCGGGAGCTTTTGGGAGGTCCTAGAACTTCGTGTGCCCCACGGACCAGTTGGAAGCTTCGGGTGGTCCTTTTTAGTTTATGGCGCCTTATGAGTTTATGGTATACCCTAAAAATCCGGCCCTCAAACACAGGGTGTTGAGGGTCCGGACCCCCTCTTGGGAGGGTCCTCGGTAGTGGGTGATAGGTTTCAAGCATCCCAAAGATTTTGGCTACCGGAGGACATGATCCGGATCCCATATTCAATATTGATCTCATACCTGGATCCTCCCTTGGGCGGGAAAAAGTGCCGGACCACAGAAATGCAGACCACAAAGAATGCAAAGCCTTGAGAATCCACGTAAAGTGACTTGGAAAAACTGCCGGACCAAGTCCAGAAAAACGCCGGAGTTGGAAGTCCGGCGCCGGACCCTGCAAAAGTGCCGAAGATCTAGGTATGTAGAACAACCACTATTGACAAGCAGCACGCTTCCGAGACTCTTTGCAGCGGCAGTGGTGCTTGGTGTGTTTGCCAACAAGACATCGGCTTCGACCTGCGTAGTGGCGGCCCTTTCCACCCCAACCACGGTTACAAGGATCATGACCATGGCAGCAACATATGACTTGTACCAGGAGCAAAGACGCTAGTAGAAACAAGTGCATCGCTACTAGTAACAAGTGCCTTACTAGTAGTAGCAAGGACGTTAGTAGTAACAGGAAGCATGGCATGAGGACGCGCCCCGGACGCGTCTCGTCGGTGTGAACGGCACGGAGGCTCGCGGTTGAACTTCACCGAGAAGGCTCAGAGAGATTTGGTGCCTTGGACCGGTGTGCATTTGGGATTTGTTTGGGGGCTTTCCAAGAATTGTAAAGAAGTATAGTGAGCTGATTCAGCATATGTTTCCACGCTTCGGTCCTAATTAGTTCTCTCTACCTCTTTTTCCCTGATTTCCATCTCGCTGACAAGGTGGAACTCATGAGGAGCAAAGATAAGCTCCGCGCCTATGCCGAGCGGCCCTTCAAAGATGTGCGCCCGAGACCTTTTTTAAGGAATTTGGGTGTGGTTTTGCACTTGTAGAGCTGGGCTTTTGGCATGGCTTTTGACATGTTTGGGTTGCTTTGGGAGTAAATGTCAGCATCATATTTCCTCTCTCTTAAGTGCTACTACCACGAGGTGAAGGGAAGACACAGGTGTGTTCGTTGTCGTTTGAGGTCAGACACGTTTTCGAGGAGATTCCGGGTATATCTATATATTTATATAATCGTAATGCTAATATTATTATACGACGGTTTGTTATCGTATAATTTGATTATCGTATATAATATTGTATATACGGTGCAGCTGTAAAAATTGCCAGACTTGACCATAAGTCTGTGAACTTCTACCGATGGATTGCCATCCAAGTAGAGCCAGAGTGTCTAGAGATGTCTAGAGTGTCTAGGTCTAGGTCAGCATCCCCTAGCTTCAGATCCAGATTCCCACGGTCCCCAATGTCCCCAATCAAAATCATCGAGGCTGGCAAGCAGAATCATCCCATGCCTTGCTCACACACGATCCACCTAGTCGGACCTAGTCAGTGGACAACATGGCTAATTAATCCTTATATATATATACGGGGATTGTTTCCCCACTAAAGTGGCGAAAATAGAATAGACACTGTAACCACACTGCATATAACCGTAACCTATGTTCCAGAAAAATATCAGGGATAGTGTCCATGCTTCTTCCGATGTCAAGTGTCCCCTAAGTTCAGAGCGCGCGAAGGCAAGTTGTGCGCCAGCTGGAGGTACCTGGCCGAAGTTTGCTTGCTGGGGACCGCTTGTGCTTTGAGGACTTTCTTGATGTTCTTCGATGTGTCGTGTGGTGACTGCTTGTGGTTCAAGTTGTTAAAAGAGGAGAATTCAAAGGGCGGTGTTGCAGTGCAACTGTTGCGTCTTTGTGTAAACCCTTTGCTGGCACGTGGCACTTCGATGGGTCCACTGACAACATGTTTTGTTCTGCGACTGGTTGGTTTGAAAGGTGTTTCTCATGATGGAATCTATATACTTGCGCTGAGTTCTTTGTTGTAAGAGACAACAATATTCTGCATTAATTGTTTTGTTCTGTTGCTGCTTCAAGTCTCCAAAGCCTTGACCTACGAGACATACTTCTTTTACAGTCCTAATTTCTAGGCTCATGGATTTTCCAAAGTCCCCACTGTTTTCCAAGCATTACCTGAGCACCACTCAACCATGTATCTTGGTGTTGCTATGCCAACGACAGTGAAACCCCTGGGATTGGAAGGATAGGTCAGAATTGTTTCAAAAGAAACATGGTCCACTTGCCCCCCAAACAATCAACCTCTCACTGGCCGGTACAGTGAAACCAATTGGTGCTTCAAGTGGCAAACACAGAGTGTTTGGGTGTCTCAAAAAAACGGAACTGGAAACACCAAAGTGATACCAAAGCCTCAAAAGCACTAGATGAGTGATGCGCCACGCTGAGCTGGGCTTATGGGGTCGCAACACCATCGTGAGGGTGTAAAAATCCTGGACTTCAACACATACAACACATGTTCTCTTCCAATCGACTGGGTGTTCTTCAGTGCCTTGGGTGGCAATACCCTGTTGAGGCGGACAAGTCGCCACTAATGTTGGATCTTGTTCGCCACTCCAAAGCACTGCTTGGCTCCACCAGGACTTTCAGCAGGCCCTCAAAGACTTACTCCAGGAGCGACTTACTGGGAGCCAAATCATAAAAGGGCAAATTTGGTGAACAACCGGAGTGTTCAGTGTGTGTGCTGTTGGGAAACTTGTTGTTCTTTGGCTCTATGTTGCCATTGCTTTTGTTACATTTTGCCGGTATAGATTCCTTGAGATGATGCTGGGGAACCTGTTGGGCTCTCAAAAGCAGGAGACCCTTTGTTGTTGTGTCCAAACATAACTGCTATAGATGATATAGGCACACATGACATTGGCACACAGTACACGCTCACTATTATCCGTTCATTTCTTCATGGATTTACCAGGATGTGGTTGGTGACTTGTCTTTGCACCGTTTTAGAGTCTCTCTTTTGTTCCTCCGATGGGCAGCTTTCCGGGCGTGACGGGTTTGTTGGGTCCTCAGGCCGAACAGCGCGGTGGTTCCCGCCCGGGGTGGACCGGATGACCATTGGTGGTGACGAATTGGAGAGACAGAGGAAGGTTCCGACACTTCGATCTGGTTTTTATGTTGGACAGAGAGGTTCGGCAAAAGCTCAGGGGGGTGAAACCAACATGGGCGTGATCTTTGGGGCTGTCATATGCTGGACTGTAGATGTGCCGAAGGACCGAGGTCGTCTCGCTTGCCTTGGAAACTTTGCGACACTTGGAATCCAAGCAATCCTCAACCTGCATGGGGTTGGATGGGCCTGGACAAACGAGATGTCAACGTTCTAATTGCTCCAGCCACTCTGCTTGGGGCGGATGAATGACATTTCCCCCAAGCTCATGTCGAACTGCCGATATTGTTCGTGTTTTTTTGGCACATCAGCACACCAAATTCCAGGAACACTGGTACTGTACCCTTCCATCCATCACGGAAGCGAGGAGTTGCACATCAGTGTGCCAGCAGACAAACAGATGCAGGCCGGCTCTTGGGCGGAATTGGGGTGAAGGAGTTGACCACAGACCGGGAGAGACAACCGTACTGAGTTTGGTTCAGGCACAAGATGGCCAAACCTATGCAGGTTGACCAGTTTAGGGAGTGTTTTTGTTCTCTGCTTTTTAACTTTCAGATTCAGAGACTCACAGAGGTTTCTTTGCCCCAAAGTATCGCTTATGGCCCGGGCGTGTCCATCAGGTCCAAAAAGTTCCACTTGTTTCGACTCAAAAGTTCCACTTAGATAGCTGACAAGGCTGACAAGCTAAAACCGCAGACCGGCTCGTCGTTGAGACGGCTCCACGGCTCCGGCCCCACCGCGGACGCGGAAGCGGCGAGGCCCTCTTTGACAAGCACCGGGGGAGCCACGAAGGCGACTCCGGACATGAGGGTATACGAAGAATGCGCGGGTCTTAAAACATAATGGATCAGGGTGACTTCAGAAACACAAGCACTTCAAAATATCATGAGACTTCAGATATAATCTGCCTTTGACCAGCATCCAGGCTGAATGGTTCACAAACGGGGAAAGACATCCATCATGTTCCCTTCATGTCCCTGTTTTTGGCCGTGTTTGATGTTTAAAGTCAAGGTATGCGGAAAAGTATTCCAATACTTCGCCCAAAACATCCCCAGCTGCCCAGTAGACTGCCAGTAGACCAGTGTTGAACCAACAAAATCACAATGCTGCAGCACAACTCTGCGGGCATATCGATCTCCAAACCCCCCCAAAACAACTATAAGCACATGGAATCATTGGGCTAAGGTTGCGACCAACAATAGGCTTATTAGCAGCATTCAATACCAGTTGTTCTTTGTGGATCACCTGAGTCTTTCTGCTTTGGGATCGGAGTTTGGCTGGACAGGTGTGAGCTCTGAAGACTTCGAAGCCCTGCTGTTTCGCTTGTTGCGCCTTGGGATGCGGACGGACGACCATCCCAGAGCATCGTCCGGATCGTATCCCGGTGATGGTCGGGTGCGGTGCCCACGGACCGCTGAAGGGTCCCCAAACCCACCGGTTGGGAAATCCCGCGAAGTTGCTTCGCGGTTCCAGGGCGTTCCACAATGTTCCACACAGCCGAGCTTGTGACTCCATGCTATTCATGGATGAATCCTACACCGCAGGTGGGAAACGGAAAGGTCAAAATGGATGTGTAATAGATAGGGAGACCGCCCGGCAGCCCAATGCACCACATGATGTCAGGTAGTTCCGAACGACCATTCGCAGCGATTTCGCAGCGGGCCACTCAGGTGCTTTTTAAGAGCCTCGGAGGAAGTCCGTGTGAACTTTGGAGCTGAACTTCGCTCTTGCTCCGAGGCCGTCTGTCAGCGGCTTCGTTTGGGTGAGTACGGTGCGGCTCGGGGCTGATAGAAAGCCACGTATGAATACGTATGATGTCTATTTAGACATCGCGCTCCGCCAGGGCCGTGGACAATCAATGTGCGTTCCGGACACTTCTTCGGCGGGACACACAAAACACCATGCCGAGGACACAGAGGTCGTGTCTAAATGGTCGTGGGAAGTGTCACTGTAATGTCTAAGGATTTGAGGCTGACATGGTTTTCCCCCCAAACCAATACAAGCCACATCAGCCAGGGACGACTTTCCGAACGATCATTCCCTAACGCTTTCACTTACGTCATCAGATGGTCATGTTGAAGTTTCTTAGAGGCTGGTGACCTACAGGCAAGCGGACCCAAGCCCGGCCCTTCATCGGGGCCGAGAAGGCACATCCAGCGACCCAAGCTGGAATTGGGCGAGAGATTGATTCTCCGAACGATCGCCAGGAACGCGACAAGCGATGGCGGCAGGAATTTATTCAGAAGAATTCGCAGAAGTCGGCTCCTGAGATGGGCATGGATCAAAGAGCGCTTAGGCTCTTAGGGTAGGTCGGGGCTGGGATTGATCATTATTTCCAGGGGATGGATCCAACATGTCAAAATCTGATTCCACAATGGGTCAATGGACACCCCAAAGCACCTTTGCGCACATGATCGACACCTCTCAGGCCTCTTAGCGGGTCTTCGGCAACTTTGACCATTGTAGATCTCGGTGAGAGAGTTATATAGCGTATATAGATTTGTATAGGCTCCTAGGCAAGCTATGTCAAATAGGGCTGGGGATAGCCGTGTCTCAGTTCCACCATGTAAGAGTCTTAGCGCATGCGGACGAGCCCCAGGGCAGTCGGTCCTACATTTGATGAATCCGCTGCTTGTCTAAGGAGACCCAAAAGGACATAGAACACCAAAAGTGGCGAGAAGTGAAGATTGCATAAGATGGCCAACGACATGATCCCGTCGATAGACTCGCTGGTAACCTGGTACATGGTACCAAAGTGACAAACGAAGCTGGTGGAGGGAGACTTTAACCAGTGGACGGGTTTGGGACATGTTGAGACTGATGGAATGGGTGGTAACTATATACACAGATTCTGCCCAAAGGACTGAAGCATCCAAGTCGAAAAGCCACCTTCTCGGTCCACAGGCACATATAAATAGGATCATTAAAGCTGTGACTAATTATTCGTGTCACTGTTCAAAACACAGATAACTTCTTCTTGGAACCACTGTAGGCTGTAGGTGACGAAAAAACACCTTTCGTGCTTCCAACATTCGCCAGGTTTAACGAAGTTTATGAGGCTGGCTACGGCTGTTTCGCCGCGGCACGGGGATCCAGCTATACCCGTATTTGGGAGATCCCATACCCGTTGCCTCAAGGCCACTGAATCGGCGGGGTATCTGCAGAAGGGATCCTTTTTGTCGGAGAGGCCCAGCCAAATCCACAGACCAAAGACCAAGCATTGCATGTCCGTGAGAATGGTGAAACTTTGTTCGTTTGGCTCCTATGTTATAATGTTTTGCAATGTTTTGCATGTTTGATTTTCCCTCCAGGGGTCGCTTTACCCCTACCCCTATCCGTACGGCTAAGCCATTTAAATCTGTAGAGGCAGGGCTACGCACCATTCCCCCGGAGGTAGTGTATATTTCATCCGTATGTTTTGGGGCAACGGCCGGCTCCGTATATTACATTTGAAAGGGCTTATGTAAATGGGGCTGATGCTATTCCGGCAGGTGGATGGGTTCACGTAGAACCCAGCAAAAAGAAAGGAGTGCTGGGTGATGGGAGAGTTTGTATATTTGGTGTTTAAAGTTATATAAGCCCAGCAGACTAGAAATCTTTAACAGTATCGTTTCAGGTCTTTCATCAAACGCCTCCTGGAACGATGTCTACGCTTGTTTGTTTAATTGTTTCATTGTCTCTATGTTGATTCCTTCTTGGTTTACTTGAAAAACCTGTTGATTCCTTCTTGGTTTCTTCGGTTTTGCTTGATTGATTCCTTTTGGGGTGTTCTTTTGATCTCTAATGATTACGCTTGAGCGTGCTTAACTAACCTCTTTAACTTCCTGTTTTAAACATTATTGTATATCAAAATGATACAAGCATCTACTCCGGCAAAAGGGTAGCCCAGTACACTAGAAATATTGAATTATATCAACTCCTATACAGTAATGTCTTCTCATTAGGTGTTTAATCTAAACTTTACCTGGAATATATTAACGATTAACCAATGCGTATTGTTGTGATTCCTGTAAATTTCTCTTGAACTTCCTATTGTTGCCTAATGGTTTCCTTTGGATTTCTATTTGTTTCCTTTGAAGGTGATGCACTAATTCCTTTAACTTCCTAGATATGTTCAATTGTATCAAACTATTGCAAATATCTATTCCACAAAGAGGGTGGCCCAGTACACTAGAAAGCTTCAATAATATTACTCCCTAGAATAATGTCTATACGGCTTTTGCGAAACATTATTTTACAATTGAATAGCTACCTGTTTCTTCCTGCTTTTGTTCTCTTATAACCTTTCCTGTCCCAAAGCGTCCCAGTTCACCAAATTCCACAACCCTGCATTAAATCTATCCGAGCCATGCAGCCATGAAGTCAAAATCTTGAATAATGTCACTGCCTAGAATAACATCTACGATTGTTGCCCGGCAATGTTTTTTGCTCAATAGACTCGTTTCATGTTTCTTTACGTTTTTGTCTTGTCGTTTTCGTTCAACCTTTCCTTTCCTAAAGCTTCCCACTCCACCAAAATCCAGACCCTTTTGTGCGTTGGCCCTTTATGAAACCTTTAGTGAAATCTATCCAAACTTTTAAAACTCAATTGCACAAAGGGAGTAGCCCAGCAAATCCCAAATCTTGAATCATATCACACCGCAACAGAGTCGTTACCTGTTTTTTACAATTTTCCTGCTTTTGTTTTCTTACAAACTTTCCTTTCCAAAACGGTCCTTCCACGACCTTTGCGCTGCGTCCGCTCTTCATGAAATCCTTTATTGAAGACTATCCCAAAGTTGCTAAAATCAATACACAAGGGGAGTAGTAGCCCAGCCCAGTGAATTCCAAATTTTGAAGAATGTCACCCCTAGAACAACGTCTACGATGTTTGCCTGGCAAACAAATTTGGGGTTCCCAATGCTTGTAAGTGTGTCCGCCTCAGTCTGGGCTAGTGTGTGTGCCTTCTGGCAATTTGCAAGTGTCTCCCAGTCTGGGCTATTATTGTGTCCACCTACTCCCTAGAAGCATCTATAATCTATACATGAGTTTCCCAGTCTGGCCATGTCCGCCTTTGGGCAACTCAATCGGCGAGCTTGCTCGTTCCAGGAGCTGGTTGGTCAAAAACGCGTTCGTTCTTTGGTCCCTACGACAGCGGAGGGGTCCATACGACAGCGGGGGAAAACAAAAAGGTCGGTCACGTCACTCGGACTAATAGCTTCTTGTTACTACTAGTAAGGCACCCGTTGCTAGTAGCGATGCACTTGTTACTAGTAGTTTTTCTATTTTGGATGGTTGAATCATGGACCTTCCACCTTTCCCAGTCTGAATCCTGCGACACAGCACCTCTGGCACGGTGGAAGTTCTTCCCATCAAAACTCTGAAAAATGTGGGTGATCATTGACCGTCCCACACTGGCCACGTGAAATGGATTTGCTAATTCAAAGGCGGCTGATCCACATAGATGTTCTCAGAACTGGCAGCAAGAAAAGAGATGTTCCTCTTGAAATACTATATAATAGGTTGTTTTTCAGGCTGGTTATAGGGTAGCTACGCAAACATGTGTGGTTCTGCCGGTTGCCACCTGACTGAAGCCATGTTTTGAATCAGACCCCTTGAAGAGATCCTTGACAACCTCTCCGAAGCTTCCACCGACCGCTACGGGTGTTCAACTTCGTGCGCCAGGTCCAGAAACAACTCGGCAAAGGCTCTTTTGGTACGGTGTATTTGGTCTCGCACAGGCGTGGCGGGCTGACGGTTGGTCGGGCACCATCTCGACCTCACCTGAGAGCTGGCTGACAGTTGGCCAGATTTGTTCCTTTGTGATGCGAGTGTCGTTGGACCCCGTTGGACACACCAATAGCCGGACACACCAATAGCCGGATTCCAAATCAAATCTTTGGCCCCCTGGTGGCGAAACCTATTGGTTTGTTCAGTGTGTCAGATGGAGAAAGAGAACTTGCACGAGTCAATCAAGAGAGTCACTCCCGTTAGGGGCATATGATGGGATATTGATGTTCCTGTGCGCTGGAAATGCATGCACCACCAGGTACACTGCCGAGAAACATGGCTGCTACACACATGCATTCTGAAAGAATCACCTAGCACAAAACCGCCCAAATTTGGCAGGAAGGTGCGGAAGAGGAACATGTGAACCCGGACAGTGCCAGATGGGTTGTTGAGGTTTGGAAACTGCTCTCATACAGGGGCCGAGCAGCAAAGTCATCGCTGTGCACAACTCTAAGATGAACAAGATGTATTACTTTGAATCTATTTTGACAAGGCACCAGCAGAGACGTGTGAGACGGGCTGAAGTAGCACGAAAGCCTTCCCAATACATTCTTGTCTATCCCGTTTCAAACGCTACGATGGATGGTGACATCAGATGACCATGCTCGGTGGATATGGATCGTGGTCGTTGACATTCGGTGCTCAGTGGTGCGTTGGACTGGAAGTCACCGAGACGTCGTCACCGAGACAGACACAACAAGGGTACAGTGTCTCGGTTGGTTTGAGCATATGCGGGGATCCCTTTTGCGTGTAAACATGTGTACATGTGTGTGTGTGTTGTGTGTTGTGTTGAGTGTGTTGTGTGTGGGTGAATGTCACAATGTTGTGTCATTTGAACCTGCACATTCGCAAAGACTTGGCCAGTGTTTCCTGTTCTTCACAAAGGGCGCAGTCATGAGCATGCTCGTTAAGTTGTTAAGGCAAGAAGCTACTAGTGTCAAGGCACCTTACTACCAGTTACAAGAAGCTACTAGTAGCTCCTAGTAGCAAGAAGCTACTAACTACTAGTAGCAAGGGCATGTACTTGATCAATTAAACTTCAGGTCTGTCAATAGTTTCAGAATGTTTCAGATGAACCGCCAGGTGGGACTTTTCCTCAGACCATTCAAGAGGGTTTCCCCGGTTTCCCCAGCGGGGTTGCCAGGACACAGGTAGACCAAAACAAGGCGAAGCGCGCGCGGGTCCCAGCTGTTGTCTTATACCATCCCAATCTGGCGTGGATGAGGTTTGAACAATGTTACGGCGAGGAAACTGAGGCTCTCAACGATGCTCACTACACTGGCGGGCATGGTGCGTCCGCCTTTGTTTTCTTGATGCTGGAAGTTCCACTGGCCGGGGGCTGCGTTTCCAGGAATGAGCCTTCCCAACTACCAGTGTCATGCCGATGAATAACCAGGAATCATCACTATAGTTATCCTTGAGTGACTTGCTAGGAATTTCAGTCGGCAGGGGATGGTGGTCTCTCTTTGAAGACTTTAAACGGGGCTGTCAAAGGCAATCAGGCAGTTTCTCAAGTACTCTATAGTAAGTAGTGTACTATATTTTGTAGTCAACAGGCACGTGAGAAGCCGCTCATGTCACACATTTCTACTTTTGACCCCACTGGTGAATACATCGATGTCAGGTGTGTCTTTGGCTGTATTAGATACCAGCGTGCCCGGGAACCTGCCCGAGCATCATGCACGTCTTCCGCGGAACGCGTCGTTTGAGGTTCGAGTCTGCAAGATGATCAGCAAAGTGAAGGCGCTGGGAGTTGTCCGTCAGATTCTTCGGACTCCAGACCGCTGCAGTCCCAATGCGTGCAGCGTGCGAACGCTCGGGTGAAGAAAGGCGACGGGTGACTCAGGAGCCTGCTTGCACCGGTTTCGACGGGTGTCCGGCCACTATCTATGATCGATATGATGTGATATGTGTGTCATTCCCCATGAGCCCATGTTTTTTTTCACATGGCCTGTCATGGACCAGGCGAAGGAGGCGAAGACATCGGAAGCGAAGGTGGGAGAGTCGAAGGAGTCGGACGAAGGATCCGTCGAGGGGAGTCGGGGTGATTTCTCGAAGAACCGCCGAGGTGGTTCGAAGATTTCTATCTACCTAATGGTAGGGGTGAATTAAGGTTGTCCTTAACACAGCTGAATCTAGGGGTGATTTCTTTTTGGGGTTCTGTTTGCTTTCATAGATTCAACTGTGTGAATTCATTCTTGTGTTGTGCAACAGATGCATGGACACGTGCTGTTTGGGGTGATGGTTGGGGGTCCCGACACCGGTTAGGATGTGCAGCAAACGTGCTATTTGTGTAGATCGAGGTAGGTCAAGTCAAGCCCTGCAAACCGAACAAAGGTCGACAGGTTGACGTCGGACCATCTTTGGGAGTCGAATCATATCGTTTCAGGACAGGTTAAGGACGAGTGTTCGTCCTGCAGTTGGTGTTGGTCCGAACGACTGGGCCAGCGGCAAGGTTCGGGAAGAGTTTGCAGTGCTGAAGCAACTGGATCATCCGCATGTCCTCAGAATATTTGAGGACGAGCACTGGGTATGGAGATAGGGATGAGATAGGGGTATGCCACTATGCCTATGCCCAGAAACTGTTGACTTTTGAATCATGTCATTATCATTTGTCCATATGTTTCTATAACCATGGGGAGGCCTGTTGAGCGGAAGAGGGATGAATTGGTTGGTTTTTGTGTTTCATCTCAAGAGTTTTCCCAGATTGATCAGAGGCAGTGAGGCTGTTGGTTGAGCACCGGGTAAAGCTGGTATGGTTCTTGTTGAAGAGCTGCCAACATGCGGATGAAGAGCCATTTTGGTTGTTGTATATATACGGTTATATACGTAGTATTTGAGGAGAAACTGATACATCTCATGCGTTAACGGTTAACGCCGAACTAACAGTCAATTGCAACCACGTGAAGAAAGGTGTCCAATTAGCCGCGCAGTTCAAACCATTGAAAAACATTGAACAACACTAGGAGTTCACAAAGCGGGTGCTTGCAGCTGCCGGAGGGTCCGTCCGGCCAAGCCTCTCGAAGTTGGGACTCCTATCGCACCATGTCGACTGGCTGCGTGCCGCGATGAGGACTTTGAGGATGAGAAGTACTTCTACTTGGTGATGGACCGCCCGCGCGGTCGCCATGAGCCCCGTTTTTTCCGCGTTGGAATCCAAAGCACCAGGAAGAGCCTCCAACCTAGTAGCTTCTTGTTACTTGTAGCAATGGCCTCCGACCTGATAGCGATGGCCTCCACCTAGTAGCTGCGTAGCTTCTTGCTACTAGTAGCAGTACGAATGCTTGGGATCAGAGCCTCCGAAAGAATAAAGTACGTATGTGCAGGCAACGATGAGGACCTTGAGTCTAACTTGTCAGGCTGTGCATGAATCAAGTCAACTATTGGCTGTGACGCTATATATATATAAGCGGATCTATACATTGTAGAGGCTGCTCTAGTAGGTGCGTTCGACGATGATTTAGAAGCAAATGCCACATATGACGCGGATTTGTTCTTAGGAACGTGTGGGCTCGACTTTGGTCTCGCAGGAACAGTGCAAAGGTGGCGATCTGGCCCAGTATGTCAGGGTAGCCCAGCCGAGCCCAGAGTTGCGGAAAACAGAGGTCGACCCATGAACAGCCTCACTTGGTAGGTTCAGACAAGGTTGGTCAAACAGGTATCTATTCTAAGTCTCGATATGTCTCATAGCATGGGGAAGACTTAATCAAGTGTTTGATGCGCACGACAACTTCACCTGTGGGGCGATGGGGTTCTGGCAGGAGTGGCGCTGGTGTTGGTCTGTTCGACACCTCGCTCGTTGAATGATACTGTGCCATGGGCAACCAACCACACCACAGTCCTCTGGAAAAAAACATGTTGGTAACATGTTCTGCTTTTGCGAATGACGTGGTCCACCACTATGTTGGTCAGCTCATGGTGTTTTTATCGGCACCCATGTGCGCTTTAGGGCCAAGAGGCCAACTCTACCGAACAACTCATCGATGGAGCCAATCTGATGTTATAGCGTGTGCTTTTTCCCGGCAGACTGTAGGCATCAAATGACTGTTTATTGTGATCACGAGATGATTTCCATGGTGCACCCCCTTCTTCTGGTGCACCAACCATGTTTAAACCGACCGCCCTCGCTTGCCCTTCAACGAAACGTCCCCGGTCACGAAACGTCACGAAACTTCCGGACGGTCCATCGGTTCCGAGGTGAAGTCTTTAGAGCCGATGGACGCCCAGTCCTATGAGTTCTGGGTGGGCAAGGCGAGCTGTTTGGAGTGGAGGAGGAGAAGGAGAAGGAGGAGGAGACAGTGACAGCTGTTTGGGACATCCGTGCAAGCGTGAAGGAATCGGACCCTTCCCATTCTTAAAGATCCTGTTCAAATCTGTTCAATATGTTGGACCTTTCTGCTTCGGAAATCTCGGTCCCTGGAAGAGTTCAAGAAATTGAGTGCTTTTTCTCGCCCATCGGCTGGAACCCAGATCAAGACTTCGCCAGGTCATGCAGCACACGCTCTCGGCGATCGCCTACTGTCACTCCAAGGCAGTAATTCACAAGGCCGGTGGGATGGAATTGGAATGGGCATGGAATGGGAGGAGTTGGTGATTTGTTACCAGTTTGTGGCCATGTGGCTGGATGGTGCCTTCAGGATGACGGTTGTCCCTGTGTGGTCCGGTGTTTCAGTTCGGTGCGCTGAAAGGTTCAGCCCGTTCGTTCAGCCCACACAGCTGGGACTCGGCCTCTCTCTCTTTGGGATAGCACTGAGAGGATCGACACAAGTGCAGCAGATGATCACACTGAAAGTGGTCTCCGCTGCCAAGAAGAGGGCATGACCTTCAAGAGTAGAGGATATGCTTTAACATGTAGAATTTCCACCAAAGATTTGGCATGGAAACTCACAGTGGATCTCGGGAAGACCATTCCGACCATTCCCATCAACACTATTCAACACTGACTCTACAGGCACAAAACATACGGGGAAGCCGCGTGAGGCCATGTGAGGACGACTTTGGTCAGATTTGGCCATTCGTTACTCAGGTTCCTTTGGCTTGGGCAAGCTGAGCCTTTTGGCTCGATACATCCCGAAACATGACAGTCAGATCACCCTGGGCCGGTGACCAAGTCTGCCGGGGCTCGTTTCTGGTCGCCACCCGTCGACGGCGAGTTGCGCACCCATCGCCGGGCGGCGCTGCGAGGATCTCAAGCCTGAGAATGTGATGCTCTCCACCACTCGGGAGCCCTCACCGCGGGGGCAGTGTGGCCCATGGAGGGTTCGGAGTTGGTCCAACAGGGTTGGTGGTCTTTTGGGGGTCTTGAGATGTCTTGAGTGATTATTTAATTTCATTTCGTGTTACGCCTTGCATCCGAGTCCCGAAGAGTTGGCATCTTGCCAAGTTCTTTATTAGGCTCGGTGAAAGTCAGGTCCTGGCACCTCACGCAAAGCCCACGAATTCATTCAAGCCCAGGCCTGTCTTCCATAGAAAGACCATGAAAGACCCCTCGCCTTCTCCTGCCATGTCTTTGAGAACGCAGCAAGACATCGGCAGAGCTGCGCTGGATATTCCTTTAGTTGTGTCGTTTGGCTGCGCTAATCGGAAGCCCTACCACCATGAGCCGTGTTGGCTTGTTGCTGGGGCACCGTAGCTTCCCGCATCAAAGAGAAACCATGGAGAAAAAGAAAAAACCGTTGGGCGGAACCAGGACACAACTGCAGTCTTCCAAAAAAGAAAGGAATGTGAATGTGACGCGTTCGTCAACATCGTTTTGCGCATGTTGACGCGTTGAGTCCTTCCGTCATCTCCCGTCTCCGCTTGTGTTGATCGGATCGGCTGAAGATCTGCACGGCAGTCGGCAGTCTGCTCATGGCCCGTGCCACGGATTCACACGAGATGACCGAGCTGGTCCACCATGTCAGATGCAAGTGGGGGATAGGAAGGATAGGAAGGTGCCTGCTGGCATTTCTAGCTCAAGTGCTTGTTGCATGCGGGGAGTTGTATAGTTTAATTGGGAACGGAGCTGGGTGGAATGAGACAAGCGGAACAAGTTTGATTTTGGGATTGCCAAGTGCTGTAGCTCCTACGGGTCCCTTGTGTGGTTGTGGTTCAACACACATGACCATTTCTGCCAAAAATATTGAAAGAAAACAACGGGTTCTTGTTCCGGGATTTGACACAGAGGTTTCCCTGGGTTTCCCCGTGTGTTTGAGGGGTTTGGATCGTAAAGGCTTTCAGGTCTCCAGCTTTGTATTTCCTTCACAACATCCGGCCATGAGATCAGAAACCACCTGTGCGAACTTTAGAACTCTGGATAGAACATCCTAACACCAAGTTGCTGTATTTGAATAAGTATATAAACGCAGTTGGCAATTGGCAGATCCAAATTCAGGTGGTTTTCTCCACCCCAAGTGAGGACTCTGGACATTTGTGTGTTTCAGGATACTCCCTTTGCAGTTCTTTGGAACACCTGGTGGACACCATTTTGTGGTTCTTGTTTATTGTCTCAAGCTGTCTCGTTTCGGTCAGTGTTTGATTACTTTTGGGTCAACGAAGGTCCTTTGGACCACACTCCCCCTTCGTCACCTTCGTCCGAATCCACCCGCGGCCGAGTCCAGGACACGCCCGTCGCCGAGATGCATGTGGCCACTTGGACATGTGGCGACGGTGCGACGGGGGTGACAACGACGGGGCTGACGGTGTCGTTCTGATCACGCGACCCCGAACCGCGGGAGCATGTTTGGTGTTCGAAGGACCTATAGCCACCGGACCAAGCCATAGATCTAGAGCTGCAGATCGTTTGAGGTTGAATCATACATTTTCTGTATGCAGTATACACCAGCTATATATGGTTTTACCACCAGCATCACCCGTCCCCAGTCAAATTCTATCAGTCACCCCCTCCAGTCCCCTGTTTCAGTTGAGCTGTGGATGGAGAGCCCATCAGACCGAGCTCAGGTGGTCGTGGACTTCGGCCTTGCTGAGGATGGGCGAGCGTGGCATTTTTTCCGTGGTGACCCATCCACGAAGCCGTTCATAGAGGAAAGGGGTCGGACGGTTTCATCCCATGACACGTTCTGGAGTTGGGTGGTAGATTCGATGGAGGTTGTTGAGCGTCCGTTTTTGGTGATTTGGGAGTTAGGAGCTGACGGTTCCGCCCCATGGCAGTCTGGGATATAGGTACCTGATGGGTACCTGATGTTTGGGAATCAGGGAGACCCAGTGGGAGACCCTCATCGGTCGTCCCAGACACAGGTCCTTCGTCGGACCTGGCAGGTCTTTGCTCGCTCCACTGACCGGAGCGACGTGGTGCTGGGGCTGCCCGGTGCCGGGGGTCGGCGTAAGGGTGGAGGACGGGAGTTAAAGCCAGTTGAAGCATGGAATCTGTTGAGGCTGTTTCAAGCCAAGATAAAACAAACGACTGTATCAGCTCTAGGTTGGAATCCAACACCTCTATCATCTCTATCTCTTCTCGAGACTTTTTGTTTTCGGGATCGGTTGAGATACTTCAACAAGGACGGGACGAGAAGACAGATCCCAACAGGGACTGAAGAGCGCGTGTTTGGTTTTGAGGCGGTCCGGAAAACCATTCATGATGTGAAAAGCAGACACCGGAAGCTCCGCACGTCGACTTGCACGCTGAAGTTGACCGTCATCTTCGGCACATTTGAGGACTTAATGACCAGAACCGGGTGTACATGACCTCAGAAACCTGAGACCTGGTCGTTTTGGTCAATGAAACCTGTCCCAGAAGACAACTTCACCAAAAAGCCTCAGAAGGCTGTGGGACTGCAGCACACACTGCGCAGGCAAACCGATCCCCTTAACCTTTGGAACCTCAGAGGAGATGCTACCATTCATTTTCCATTATATAAATATTCTGTCACACTATAACGTATGTATTGATATTTCAATGAACCCGGCCATAGTAAACATTGTTTCTTACACTCCAAACGGGTGTGGGATTATGCAGCCTACTTCCATAGGTTGGAGGCCATCGCTAGTAGGTTAAATATACTGTACTCTAAACTCTAAACAAAATAGAATATATATATATATATAGCGACGGACAATCACTTAGAACAATTTTTTCAAAACTTTGAAAACCACACTTAGAACATGACAAATATCAAGAACATTATTTGTTCTTAGTGCTGCGCATAGAACATTCCAGGGGTCACACTTAGAACATGACAAGGAAGAAACCATGAAAACTGGAAGATCCCTAGACTTTTCACACACAGCCCTTCCCTGCCACACACTAGAACTCCTTTTTTTCCATACTGAGGTCATCCCATGCAATCCAGGATCCACTATATGCTCATATTTATGTATGTTGGGGGCATTTATTGTTCTAAGTGTGTTGTTCCAAGTGTAAGTTTTTGTGTTCTAAGTGTAGGTTTTCCCTTTGTTCTAAGCCATACACTTAGAACCTCTCTCGGGGACGCGTGTGGAAAAAGTTGCCAAAACATGTTCTAAGTGATTGTCCGTCGCTATATGTAGAATCGAATAGTGTATATATATAGTTAAAGTGTCTTTTCGGAATTTGTGTTTAGACCTTGAGACCGTTGTGGGCAATGTCATTTGCCTCAGCAATCTCCCGCCTCCGAGGTCGGGGACTCCGCCTTACATGGCCCCGGAGGCGCGACGTCGGACGTGAAAAGCGTCGGCCGGGTGACACGCTGGAAGTTATTTGTTTTGTGTTTGAAGATGCAGGTGGGTCACATGCACATACATGAACCACGAGTTTGGACTTCAGTAGCAATGGAACTCAGGGACAAATTCCTTTTGAATCAGAGCACCTGACTCCCGGCAGGTATGGCAAGGGAATTTCAGCAAGAGTTGCGACGTGTGGTGGGGGGGCCCTGGAGGGGGCTTTGCAGGAGGGGGTCAAAGTTCAAAAGGAGATATGGACAATCAATATGCTTTGGCCTCCATTCCAAGAGGCCATCGCTATGAGGTTGGAGTCCATCGCTATCAGGTTGCAGGCCATCGCCATGGGAGGTCCCGGGAGGTCTCACAGGTGTTGATCCTTTTAATTCTCCGTACTTTTAGGGCAGTGGAAAAGGTGTGAACAGGTTCACAAGAAGCTACTAGTAATAAGGTGCATCGATGTGCATCGCTACTAGTAGCAAACAGGCTACTAGTAGCTCCTGGCATCACTAGTAGTAGCAAGAAGCTACTAGGAACAAGGTGCATCGCTACTAGTAGCAAGGAGGCTACTAGTAGCTCCTGGCATTACTAGTAGTAGCAAGAAGCTAAGAACAAGGTGCATCGCTACTAGTAGCAAGGAGGCTACTAGTAGCTCCTGGCATTACTAGTAGTAGCAACAGGGGATAAAGTCGAGTTCCGCAACTGCGCAGGATTCCGCAACTAGGATTCCGCAACTGTTTGGTCGGATTCCGCAACTGGGATTCCGCAACTGGGATTCCGAAACTAGGATTCCGCAACTAGGATTCCGCAACTAGATTTCCGCAACTAGGATTCCGCAACTAGGATTCCGAAACTAGGATTCCGCAACTGTCAAGATTCCGCAACTAGGATTCCGCAACTAGGATTCTGCAACTGGGATTCCGCAACTGGCGTTCCGCAACTAGGATTCCGCAACATTGTGGACTCCCTCACTAGGATTCCGCAACTTTGTGAATGATGAGGGATGTCGAGATCACACGATGGGGACAAGGGGGGGTTGGGGGGTGGGGGGCTAATGACGTTGGTTTGGATGTGCTTCGAAGGTGATGTCACAGGCACACACGCTATCGCGTGATGTGGAGATCACCAGTTGCAAGTTTCAGAAGGCAAGTTGCAGAATCTGACTTTCCAGTTTCAGAATACCAGTTGCAGAATCTGACTTTCCAGTTTCAGAATCCCAGTTTCAGAATCCTAGTTTCAGAACCCCAGTTTCAGAATCCTAGTTTCAGAACCCCGGTTTCAGAATACCAGTTTCAGAATCCAAGTTTCAGAACCCTAGTTTCAGAACCCCAGTTTCAGAACCCTAGTTTCAGAATCCGACCGATTAGTTTCCGAACCCGGCTCTAACCCCGCCCAGGCTAGAAGGAACAAAGGGCATCGCTGCTAGTAGCAAGGAGGCTACTAGTAGCTCCTGGCATTACTAATAGTAGCAAGAAGCTATTAGGAAAACAGGGCATCGTAAGGACGCTACTAGTAGCTCCTGGCACCACTAGTAGTAGCGAGAAGCTATTAGGAACAAATTAAGGTGCATCGCTGCTAGTAGCCAGGACGCTACTAGTAGCTCCTGGCATTACTAGTAGTAGCAAGAAGCTACAAGGAATAAAGGGCATCACTACTAGTATCAAGAAGCTACTAGTACCTCCTGGCCTCACTAGTAGTAGCAAGAAGCTACCAGGAACAAAGGGCATCGCTGCTAGTAGCAAGGACGCTACTAGTAGCTCCTGGCATTACTAGTAGAAGCAAGAAGCTACTAGTAACAAGGTGCAACGCTGCTAGTAGCAAGGACGCTACTAGCAGCTCCTGGCATTACTAGTAATTAGTAGCAAGAAGCTACTCGGAACAAAGGGCATCGCTACTAGTAACAAGAAGCTACTAGTAGCTTCTGGCACTACCAGTAGTAGCAAGGACGCTACTAGTAGCTCCTGGCTAGGAACAAAGGGCATCGCTACTAGTAACAAGAAGCTACTAGTAGCTCTTGGCATTACTAGTAGTAGCAAGAAGCTACTAGGAACATATGGCATCGCTACTAGTAGCAAGAACGCTACTAGTAGCTCCTGGCATTCCTAGTAGTAGCAAGAAGCTATTAGGAACAAAGGGCATCGCTACTAGTAGCAAGAACGCTACTAGTAGCTCCTGGCATTACTAGTAGTAGCAAGAAGCTACTCGGAACAAAGGGCATCGCTACTAGTAACAAGAAGCTACTATAGTAGCTCCTGGCATTACTAGTAGTAGCAAGAAGCTACTAGTAACAAGGTGCATCGCTGCTAGTAGCCAGCACGCTACTATTTGCTCCTGGTAGTAGCAAGAAGCTACTAGGAACAAAGGGCATCGCTACTAGTAACACGAATCTCTTATATAGTAGCTCCTTGCATTACTAGTAGTAGCAAGAAGCTACTAGGAACATAGGGCATCGCTACTAGTAGCTCCTGGCATTACTAGTAGTAGCAAGAAGCTACTAGGAACAAAGGGCATCGCTACTTGTAACAAGAAGCTACTAGTAGCTCCTGGCATTACTAGTAGTAGCAAGAAGCTATTAGGAACAAAGGGCATCGATACTAGTAGCAAGAACGCTACTAGTAGCTCCTGGCATTACTAGTAGTAGCAAGAAGCTACTAGGAACAAAGGGCATCGCTACTAGTAACAAGAAGCTACTAGTACCTCCTGGCATCACTAGTAGTAGCAAGAAGCTACTAGTAACAAGGTGCATCGCTGCTAG